CGTAATAAGCATCAATAAATAACGCATCCTTTTCTTTCGCACTGCGTACGGCAGATCAAACGCGAAATAATGAATATTTCAGTATAAAAATATATTTTGAAATGTACTTGAAAGTGCCTAAAGAACGTAAATTATCATCGGTCGTATTAGTCACAGTATGCGGGAAGATTGCGAGACACTTTACGCACGCACTGAAAACCTGCTCGTATATTTTTACGATACCGTACATTGTGCCTGTATTTATGCATGAACACTTAACGTTACACTTAAGCGCTACATAATGACTGCACAAAACTTGCTGCTTGGGTACGGCAAAACATTCAAACCGCACCTGTGTACACCCGAACAGACCCTATCATGCACCATTAACTCGCACCGCCTATTAATTGCGGAGATTGTTACAGTCCACGTAATTAAAGTGCCCGTCGAGTTTCGGCATGAAAATCGATCATACATAATCTATCGCAATATGCTCGAGATAAGAACGTAGCAGGTAAGTTGAAGACATAATTAATTGATTGATCGATTAACATAATTAATTGAAAGACGATGAAATTGTATAAGATTCCAGCTTCATCTATCAATCGCAAATACAGCAAAAAATTAATTAAATACATAGCAAACAACAATAACTTTTAAATCATAAAAAATTAATAATTGAAAGATTTAAATTATTTGAACTTTAGAAACGCGTGGATAATATTGTTCCTCAGTTCAACAATTTTTTAATATAACATCTGTAACAAAATATGTAAAATAAAAATAAGATCTGCACGATAAATTCTTCGATTAAATCTTTGCTAAAATTTTGATGGCTTAGCTTCTGATATTAATCGATCGTTTCCATTCTACGTTAATAATACTTATTAAGAACGTTCCGCGCTTTAATAAATAATTATATCTAAAAAGAACACTGTTTAGAATTGTTACAGTTTTAGTGCGATACTTCGACGTTGCACAATGCGTGATAAAAAACTGCCTGCGAAAAACCATGCACCGAATCGATATCTGCCGTTTGTGTATATTGCGAAAATTGGGAAGTTGCGATGTATATTTATCACTCGCTATGCAATCGTAAGAAAAGTAAAGAAAAAGAAAACTATTACACCAGCAATTCTAGTCAATACAGGCATGAACTGTGAACAATTTATTCATTTCTGCAAATGACCAATGGACAAAAATGTGCGAGAAGAAACACACAAATACACAAGAATATATCTCCACCGTGGAGAATTTCGCGGAAACAATTTTACATGCAATGTTGAAATTCCGTTCGACCGTTTTTCTTCACTAATTATTAATCAAAATCCGTTATGCGCTTGCAATAAAAAATGTTATCAAAATTTTTCTTAATTTCTGTTTCGTAATTTATTGCGCACATATTTTGCAATATATATATATATATATATCCGCGTTACATTATGTAACAAATAAAGACAACAAGAGAGTATGCTAATGAGGCTTATGTATTATCAGAGTCTTCACGCATGAAAGATCATGCGTGATTAATATTCAATAACAATTTGAGATAATCTATGTGTTGATAACGTCACTAAAAAAATTGTTACGCATATTTTGCCAATAATTTTGCATTAGTTACAGCACGTATTACACTTGCGGGAGAAATAAAAGAGACAAATTGATGGATAAAGAATCTGATGAAACCGTAATAAAATTATGAGGAAGTTAGTTTGATTATCGAACAATTGATAAATACGTAAATTCCGGCTGACACTAATTAAGTCTCAGCATGACTTTTCGTTCTTCCGGGCAAATCGTAGAATACACGAATCTGATTTGTGGCGTAACAAGATGCTACGTTTTCAACAGATGTGAAAAAGATCCGTTGAGAAATGAAGAATACCGTCTGCATTTGTATCGCGTTCGCAGTGGAGTTAATTAACAGCGCTGCTAAATATTAACTTTGTAACCGAGAAGTAATTAGTCTGATTGCGCCGAGTAAATGCTTGTGTAATATTTACGTGAAATTACATGCAGGTGTAGTATTAGAAAATACTCTGACTTAAGAAAAATACTATGATTATCCCGCAAATGGTAATCGCTTGGAAAGTAACGCAATATCAAAGTGCTGTACGCGCCACAATGCCTGAAAACACAGATCTCCACGCATGGCAATTCCACAATGCAGCGTGTGAATATACCACTTGTGCATGTGACATAATTCAATTTTATAAATGTCTAGTCGGAAGAAAAAAAGTCACGTATATACATTTGTAATTTATTATATAAAATTTATTATATAAAAAAGCATTTGCATTACTTATTTGCTAACAGTTAAGAGTAAAATAAATGAGTAAAAAGTGAAATATGTGTGATAAATTGACGTTTCTTTAACTAATACCTTCGAATGGCAATTTATAAAGCTTCTTAGATTGAAAATATTATTTGACAAGTTAAGCTTTATCGATGAATAAGCCACTATTTTATCATTATATTTTGAAGGACATTACTTATAGTAGACTAATCATAAATATCGATCGTCTGAGCCTTAATTGAAAATGAAGCCTTGAGGATTGACATGCGGCCATCGAACGTAACGCGCAGTCACCGCGAGAGAATATAATAACGCCTGGAAGGAGTGAAACGCGGATCTTGAGTCTTTAGAAATTCGCCGCGACGTGAACTCGACAGCTACTCGATAAATGCGATGCAGGCGAGGCTGCAACGACGACGCTCGCCCGATAATCGATTGAACATTTGTTCGGCAGACTGGAAGTGCCCGATACTCTCGAGGAGAGGCAAAAGTGGCGCGCGAGCGCGACGTTTCCTCGCCACGGAAGCGGAAAGTGGCACCGATTTGTGCGAGCCGACAAGAACATCGTCTTCGCGACGCCACGCGACGAGCGAGACAGAAATCTGCGTAAATGTCGCGAGACATCCTCGCTATGGAGGAGATTTTCTCCGCGACGCTCCCGCCTCGTCTTCGCTTTCTACGCGCGCGAGATTAAGTATGCGTTCTGCATCTTTTAGCGCGAAACACTTCACATAAAGTGGAGTAGCCGCAAATTTCATAAATATTAATCAGGTATTATGTTATCGCGCCGCGCTGCTCTGGCGTCTGCATGCTCGTGAAGCGTATACTAATTTCGAAGATTTCTATCGAGAATATAACGGAACGCGAACGTTTTGCTCGCGTCAGAGGCATGCCATTTCGATTTTATATATCAAAGTAATTGTTTTTTAATCATTTCCAGAGGGTAACTTCAGTACATTTCAGAAAGAATCTTACGTTACAGAAACATCAGTCACAATCGTTGACATCTCTACATTAGGCAAGAAATTATTATATTTCTATAAGGCATTTGTTACATTTCTTTCTCAATTTATAATAGCCGTTGACGAGTCAAACGGTATATTCAAGTTCTCTCTCTACGCTTTCGAATCTTCTCTAAGAAGTTCTAAGCTAACACATGGCTTCAGTTAGTTAACTCCAGTTAGTAAGCGTTCCCAGTGGATCTTTACCAGATCCTTATCTTTGCGCGGATATATGATACGTCATGAATCTCTTTCCTTCCCTCCTTTCCCCCTCCGCTCTCTCTCTCTCTCTCTCTCTAATCAGATCTCACGATGTTGTAATATCACGATCAACCTCACGCTGCTCAATCCTTAAGTAGAAAATAACCTACTGGTTTTACGAGAGGCGTTGTGGCGACAATACCACAATTTTTTTTTAGTTTCCATCGTAAACATGTACGCAAATCATGCCTGCACGAATAATCAGAGATATTATGCAGAGAGCCTGCTTTTACGCGGCTTACTCAGTTGTCTCACGCGGATATTCCGTCTTGCTCGCTCCGGACTTGTTATGCTTTCACCTGCGAATGATTAACAAATCATGCGTGAAAATACGCTCATTGAGCGGGTGATCGTGACACGTCCATTCGCGACCATCGAATGAATGCGCTTGAGCAGAAAAATCATACGATGTAAGGAATTTTCCCATTTAGTACAATTCACATGTTTCAGTCTTACTCTTCAGTAATTGCGTTGGTGTTTACCGATCATTATCGGTGTAAATAGCACTGTCAATCCAATTTGTATAATTTGCATAGTTCGCATGATTAGATGAAAACCAGTTTTGCAGTTACCACCTGTCGTAAATGTATATAATTGCTCTACATAAAAATTTTTTTTCAAATTTTGAGAATGAAATTTATATTTTGATGAACTTGAAATATTGAAATATTCAACTATTTGCAGTTTTGAGTACAAACAATCGGATCAGGAATAATTGTTTCAATTATTCCACTGTGTAATTATCCAATTAAAAAAAATTAGATTTTATCGCGAGTAACATTCGCCTGCGATTGTAACGTGTCTGCGAAAGTTACGTTTATCGCTACATCCACATTGCTTTTATTTGTTAACGTTAATGCTCGCGCTATCCTTAGGTTATTAATGCGCGATAGCCGACGAAGACTTTCGTTACACATTACAAGGCACAGTTTCTCCGTTCGTAAAGATCGAGTGAGAGTCTGCGCGCATGTCGGATGTGCATGTGTTCGAATATTCCGAATGCGTTTAAACGGTTGCAGGAAACTTTCGTAATTACCAATACACGAGCGCGGATAATAGTGCCCGATCGTAATTATCGTCGTCGTGCGAGCGTCGTGCACTACAGATTTCGTCGCGGATAAGACCGCCGCCTGTCGTGTTTATTATTTTATTGGTAAATTTCATTCCCGGACGGAGGTCTCCTTGAGCAATGAAAGGTTGTTCCCAGTGCCGCTTCGGAATATTCACGCTCTATGCACAGTTATGGCGTTATATATCAATTTCATATTGCCATAAAAATCTTGAAAGCGACAAGTTTAATGGGATAACGTATATAAATATATCGAAATACTCTTCCATTACTGCACAATTTATTTTCAAAGCGCATTTCTCCATTCACATTATTTTTTATCATTAATGACTATGATAAACTGGATTAATATTGATAAATTAAGCTAAATGTATGTGTATAAAATTTTCATTAACATGCTAAAACCGCTAATGGGAGAAATAATATAGGTATATGAGAGAATTAAATAATATTTACACATTTATGACGAAAGAAAATCTTACAAAAATCTCCCAAAATCGACAATATTATTGTATTCTCTACAGAAATTACGTAAAAGGGAGCTAATTGCATTTGGAATGCGGTTGTTTTTTGTAAATTCTTCTAAGAATCGGCCACGGATCAACCAAGTTGCGGATTTGCATATCATTCGTCATCGCGCACGCACGTAATTAAAAGCACGTACGAAATCGATTAGCAGAGAGATCGGGCGATCACGAGTTTAAAGAAGTACGACCGTATTGCGCGGAAATGAAAGCGTCGGCACTTCAAAACGCGCCTCATTGACCCGCGGCCTATTCGCTCTTTCGTTCGTTGATTCGCCGTATTTACATACAACGTTAAGCTGCGCCGAGCTGTGCGACGTGGATTAAGTTTAAATCGTAACGCGGGCACCAAACGGTCACTCGCCCGAAAGAGGCTATCTACACTTAATTAAATCGCATTGCAATCGCAATAAATAACTTACCGGTCGGCAAAACACACCGCCGACTTTAATTATTTTATGGAGCTATCTAGCGAAGCGCGAACCCACCTATTCGCCGGTCTTGTTTCACAAGCGGATATCTCGGCTGTAACGCGGAGCGGATCGCTATTCAGTCCCGCTCGCTTTGTTCTCGGATTGCACTGTCGTACGCAGTGTTTTCCGCCGGCTGCTAATTACACACGTCTTGGCGTTACTGGCGCGCGGGAAGACACGAGTACCCGTAGTAATGTACCATAAAATACGACTTGCACCTTCGTGAACTCCATTACACAGATAACGGACATTCTTATTACCGTGTTTGCACAAGATTATCGCGGTAGTTAGATATCGAATGTGGCGTAATATCAATCTGAATATGACTGCTATTTATAGCCACCGGTTAATTTTGCTCATTCAATCACTTTTCCGTCACTGAAGTACATTGAAATAGCACGTAAATCTTGTCGAAAAGATAAGGTGATATAAAATTTTCACTTTCGCTAATTAATGCTTTTTGTACACACTTTGCTTTAGGAGGGATTGAGAGCTATATAATAAGCTATGTATATAACTTTAGAAGAAAAATCTCGTTATCTTAACCTGACACTCATATTTCTCTATTTGTATTGCACTAATAGTTTTTCTTTTTTGTCCTATGAACTTTACGTAATCCAGTAAAGTTCACGGAAAGTGGATGCTTTCCCACGCCACTAATCATGAATACCAACTATTGTTAAGAAAACTACTTTGGACTCGTCCTTTCTTCAATGGTCATCATCACGTAACGTTGGTCTGCAATTCTATCACAATTTCCAGTTGGAGTCTGCGAGCCGTGACGTCCGAAACCTTGACCTCCATTTTCTTCAAGTTGTCATCTTTTTGCTAACGCACGATCATGTCTAATAGTAGAAGTAAGTGATGTAACCTGCAATAAGTAAAAAGTCAGTCTAATTCTTCATTCCTAAATATTTTAATTAATGTACGAAATAACTGATTGTCGAAAGATATTTCAATTTTAACTCGATTTTTCCTTCAATTTTTTTTATGCTAATTATAAACGTATTGCTTGCGTATTAAGAAATTCACAAATTATCCTTGAATTGCATTGGGAATTGATGTTCACAAGTGCTGAAAGGACACCGAGTCGTTTACTTTTCCGATTGCGGAACCACGGACGAACGAAGCGAGGAAAATTAATTTCAAACTGCTCGCGCTTCCGCTCCGCAGAACGCTCACACCGACAGATTCCGGTAGATTCTTCATCATCGTCAAATCGCGATAAATTTGCTTCGAAACTTCCTCGATTTCGCTTGCGCAACCGAATTCTGATTTCTCCCATTCCTTCGCCGTTCTTCTCATTTTCTTCGCGCTATCTGCCGACGACGATTCCCTCGCGATATCACTCGCCGTCGGAAATTGTTGAATTCATTAACGCGAGATCCCTCCGACGATCCGTATGATTTCCATCTACGATTGCTACCGCCGAAAGTCTCGTTCGCAGTGTTAATACCCGGAACACCTGAACGTCGCTAATGAGTAGCGAGGGTGATACCACTTCAAAGCTGCTAATTACAAGACCCTCGTCACCTTGTCTCGCCCGGCGCTGACCTCACCCCCTTTCGCCTGCGCCCTTTGATTAGTAAGTGCTCGCTTTTCCGGTCCCCTAGTGCTCTCTCGACTTCATCCACACACGTGTGCGTTAGCAAGATCGTACGTAGCGTCGATAATAAAGTCGACCGCGAAACGAACGGGGGATCCGAATGGAAGCCATTAGGGGACCTAAAGGATTCCGCCTGCTCTGATTATAGTCAATTTAAACGCGGGGACGTTCTAACAACGGACGGCAGCGTTCAAAAATAATCGTCGCTAAGCGGCGAGCGGGTCCGATTTGAAAATGTATAATCAACGCACGGCCCTCGCAATTGCGTCGTATTGTCGGTGTTTTTAAATTACCATCGATTTTACGCTCAGATTATACACATTACGCGTAATTTTACGTAAATCGTACAATTTTATATTAGACGCGCGAACGATTTGTACATTCGTTCACTTTCACTCCTTGTATCGAGTCTTGCAGCGCTTATTGACCGAAGAGAAATGTTGAAAGATCTTTGTTGCGTAAAAAATATAATTAATAGTAGCAAATGTAGTCGAATGGCAGGGTGAAACATCCTGCTTGAATATAAAAATGTACAAAGTATCCATCGGAATCATATCGATCCACAGCTGGTTAATGAAATGTACGGACCACTTTTACATTCGAGCCGCTGCAAACTTTTTTAAGGCGGCCGCGCAACGTCTCTTCGCCCGAGTTTTCCAAATTAATGTCCCGTGAAAAAGTATTTAACGACGATATCGTTAAGTTACGAGTTTGTTCCCGCGGGGAATACCGACGACGAAGGGAAAATTCGTTTTTCACGCCCGCCTCCTTTCAACCCCAGATAAATTTTCGTCAAGGACGTCCGGGTCACCAGTTTTTGCGTGTTACGTAATTAAATGCGGATCGTCGGCTTTAATGACTACTGAGGGAAACGAACGGCCGCTTGACCTGGAACGTTATCACCTCCCATCTTATTTGTTTAGCCTTCTGTTATTCGTTTAGATTTACGATCGCTTGTTATCAGTGTGAAATCGATTTGCAATTGGCAAATGTAGACGAAGATGTTATACGAACGTGTATACTTTTATCATGGACATCTTTTCAGATTTCGAAATAGAAATTATTGTGCAGAACACAGAAGGGAAGTTGCTCTCTTTCTCTCTCTCTCTCTCTCTCTCCTTCTCGGATTGCATCAATTTCGCTTCTTCGGCTTTATCAATCCAGTTAGCGCAAAACGTGCTTCAGCGGCTGAGCGGCTTTATTTCCTGCCGGGGAATTAAATTATACTTTACACTCGTTATCTGCTAACGGGCTGGTTAATCTTTAAAATTGTCCCGATAAAGTAGCTGCTTCCCTACAATCTTACCGGTGGTCTTAACTTTCGAGCTTAATGCTCCTCGCCCTTAAAACGCGCCACGACGTTAATCACGCGATGCCCGCCGAGATTTACGTTTCCTTCCGCGCGCGTCGAGTTGCGCGCATTAATGAGCGCAAAATGTTGTAAAGCGCGAGATGCACAAGCTTTCCCCCGATATCCGGCGCGTGTTTCTCTACGGCAGAATTTGTTTCGCCAGCCGCTCACTTCTTTTGCGCCGTACGCGAGTTTTAGCGCCATTAGCAATTACCTCCCGCTAACTTGTCGAGTTATATAAAATAGCGCCGCGGCGTCGCTTACAATTCTTCCGCGAGTTCGGCAAACGCTTGAAACGAGGGATACCCACATTCAGCGCCAGCAATTTGCGAACCTATGTGTCCATCTTCGCCGAATTGAGCAATTATTTGCCAACGTAACGGCAGGCTTATGGGAACAAAGCTTTATTCCATCGAGCTGATTGTATCAGCGTGCTTACGCATTGCGCGCGGTTACGTTCTTTCTGAGGTTCTTATACGGAGTTTCGCAGACGCGCGGGTTACCCAATCCGAATTTTTCGCTCCTTCTGTCGATCGATAATTGCAAGTTCGGCCACCTGACATTCTCCGGTAACGCCGATTTTTTTAGACATCTGTGAATAAAAACCGTGGTTTCCTACCGTCGCTCTTTCACGAAGACGTCATCTGCCGCGAGGCAACGTAATTTTACGATCACTATTACGATATTGAATTCGGTTCCTCCAATCATTTTGTCATTACTCAATAAGCACTCGTTGGCGAAATTCTTCAATGATGTTACACAAACGTCTTACATAATTTCTCCAATCGCCAAAATACTTTGTGCATGCCACATGTCACTTTCGCTTGTGTAAAAAAAATTTCGGCGGGATTAATTACAAACGTTTGTATTTGATTTCGTAACTTCGCGGTTTTCTTTACGATTGAATAACAAAGGACACAATGCGCGCGGCTGGAAGAAAAAGAATTCATCGAACTTGACCGTGCATGACCGGTTCGGAGGCGGGACCGAAGGAGCATTGATCTTCACTTCTCCGTCTTTGTTTTTCCCCCGGTATCCGTATAATGCGTCGCTGACCGAAAAGGCAACCTTGTCGCGTTGACGGCCTCGTAACACCTGTTACGCGCAATGGAGTAACTCAAGTAAGGTTACGCGCGAAACGAGTTTAAGCCGCGAGGCCGCGCCGCCGTCTGTCGTCAAAATCGCTTTCACTGAACCGTCGCGGACGCATGTGCCAAGGCTGAAGATTCCTCACGCGAGAAAACCGGTATCCAGCTGCGCCGCCGGTTTCGCGGAAGGAGGAAGTGCGAAGTCTCGCTCCGCGCTCCTTTTCTTTATCGTAGCTACGATTTTTTTCTCTGCTCCTCCCCCTCATTACGCTGCCCCCTGATGAGACTATTTCGATAGCGAGCGCAGGTGCGAAGGACGGCGCGAGAAATGAAAGCCTGGGTATGGGTTTAAATTACCGGAAGACATGTTGCGCCTCGCGTTACATCGCGGAAACCGTGGATCCGATTGCGCAAGGAAATCCGTTCTCAACGGTTCTCTGCGCTACGATTCGGGTTTGAATCGATTTTTAAATCCGATCTCACTTCGTTCTGAGTAAACGGTGACGGTAAATGGCTCGTTGGGTATCGCTGACAAGGTTAATGAGATAATCATCTGGCGAAAGTTTCCGTTGTTAGAAAAAAAATAGTTCATGCTTACCGCCGTGTAATAATAGATACGATAAATAGGAGGAAACATTTATTGAACGTTCTCCGCGATATTTATAGAGTCCGCTTATGTTAATGCCGCTGTGGATATTAAATATATTTTCTTTATAGACTTACCTGCGGCGTTCAGGATACTCTTAATTATCCGTGCTAGTGCATTTCTGTCGCTAGACATGCTGCGGTGCACACTACTAGTAGCTAGGGAACCCGCGTACCACATATTAGTATCGCATCTTACTGTCGCACACTGCGATTTCCGTATCGATCGCCAAAAATTCGAATTATAGATGCGACAAGCGAGACGTCGATGGTTAACGCTTGGCATGCTCGCGATTGCGGCTGTTCATAGTAAATGCCGTGCTGACGTGCAGTCTTCCCGCGAGGATGTAATGAGACGAAGCTGATTGTCGTCCTCGGCGGGATTACGAACGTAAGCGTGAACGACAGAACACCATTAGCACGCTCGCAAAACGACGTACCGAGATTCAAGGATTCGGGGAGGTGACAAAGTCAACCTTCGCGAAAGCGAAGGTGCAATGGGGAGTAAATTTTTGCAATTTGCCAATTCGAGCTCGGCCATGTGTATGTGACGCCATACAGGCCGGAACTGAGTAGTTCGAATTTTTTAATTAGCCAAACATAATACAAAGGGAAATTAAAATTTGTATACGCTTATGCGTACGTCGAATTTGCGACGGTTATTTGCTACTTTTATTAATTTACAGTATATTTATATATTTTACAACACCTTTAACAATTATTACGAGCGTTTCGAACAATCGCGCAATTGCAAAGAAATATTATATTTGTATCATCGATTTACATTACATTGTCGATATTGAAACATTCTGAATCCGACGATGCCGACTAGTCGACAATTGCGATTGTAATTTTCGAGAGGTAAACTTGATTTAATTTATATAAATTGTTAACATTGATTAAATATATTTTTTTAATCGCGTGATATCACTACTGGATTTAAAGTGTCAATATCCGCATAGGCTTGCGTGACTCTTCGAACAGCTTGTAAAACAATAGACGCTATTACATGCACAACGCCCTTGATTATAGAACTGAAAGGAGTTGGGATAATGCATATTGTCGACAATGTTATTTCATAGGTGATAATAAATAGTGTTTATACATAAGTTGGGTGCAGAGGGGGCGAACGAGGTATTGCGTGATCACACGAGAGACATTATTCTCTCTCTCTCTCTCTCTTTCTTTTTCCTTTTCCCCATTCTGTTTTATTCTGTTATTCTTCCGCTTCGGCGTTTCTTTGGATTGCCTTACATGCACAGGCTGGTCACGTGAAGGTTCGCCGACTCCACCACCGATTCCCCCCCC